TACATGGAATGGAATTCCGCATGTAATCTGTGAATTTTAATATAATATAAATATTCTCTGATCTATATCTGGACCCATGGAATGGCATTCGATGACATGTCATCTGTGAATTTTTTTATGCAATATAAATAAGTTGTTTGCACATTGGTTGGAAAATTTTGAGTTAGTCATTAATAAAATCAGTCTAAATGATTTCCTTATTTTTATACAATTTGATTTCAACTCTATAATCTTTTGGGAGATAGCTGCTTCGCCATGACATCATAAGACATTATATGAAACATGCCGATGAATATTTCACATTCTTAATTTGCAGTATGAGTGATGCATGTCAGTGAGTTTTTAATATTTATATTTACTTTTTGTTTACAATTTTAGAATGATGAAAAAATGCTTTAACATATTTCTAAAAATCACATAAGGCAATTGTATGCTATTAAAAAAAAAGATAAATGCAAAGTTTTCAAACTTTTAAAACCAAAAAATAACCTTTAGCTATATATTGGGATGTCATTTAAGTATTCTTGAGATATCATAAGCTAATTTATCAAATAAATTTCAAGAATTTGATATTGATTATATATAATTGTAAGGTAAATTATAAATTATTGATAGTATAAAGTTTTAAATTTTCATATTGAGAAATGTAAAAAGAAACTTGACCATCACAATTAAGTGTGTAAAAGAAATTATTGTTAAGTGTAATTATAACATCAATATAAACCAATAATGGTTGTAATATTTGTTAAGAGTGTCATGATTACTATACTTGTTACACACAAAATAATCTAAAAATTAATATAAAAATGTATAGTTTAAAATAAAGTTGAACGCCATTAAATAATTACCATATAAAGTTTTCAAGAAGTTGTATAGAGTTCTTTCAAAAACTATTTTAAAAAATCAAAAGTTGTCTAAAGTGTCATAAATGACAATAAAAATCACAGAGAAAATGTCAATTTTAACTTTGATGTTGAAAAAGCGATTTAATTGTAACTTTTTTCTACGTCAAAAATGTCAACAACAGGTTGAAGTTCCAAAGAAAAACTACTCTGTTAAACTGATTCAAATAAGATGTAAACAAATACGTCAATGTCAAAATGAGCCAGTTTATATAGCTTTTATACATTATACTAAGTAAAAGTATGTTAACCTCGAAAGAAATAGTTTGTAATTTTAAACGTAGATACCAGAACGGTCGTCCTAGTTTGTTGTGAAGAAAGAATTCAAACGGGAAGTTTGAAAATACGAAGTTTAGCTAGTTTAAACAACAAAGTATATTTATAATAAATATAGAAAAAGGGTACTTACACATTCTGATTGGTAAAATTGAGGGTAGTAAACTCATCTCCATAGACACAAGCTAATAGGCTGTGTGGCAAGGCCAAGAGGAGGCATGCCAGCAGAGAGGTGGACATGTTGGCCGCTAAGGGAAGACTGACTGGCCTGATGGTGAGGGGCCTCGGAATGGGGGGCGGTGGCGCCGGTCTGGGGGGAGAGAGAGGGGGGGGGGATGAGTGAGGGGGATTAAAACAAACAGTCGCCTGCCAGGATTAGCTGTCGTCGACATGTCGTCTAGACCGTCCTGAGGGGACACTCCTTGTTGACCCTCTACAGTGAGGAAGTACTCACTAAGTTTTTCTCTGAAGTTTCGTCATTTAATAATCCAACAATACAGACGATCTTTTTATAAGGATTAGAGAATATAGTATATGAAATTGAAACTATATAACTGAGAGAGAATAGAAAAAATAAAAACTGCACAAAAACGTTAATAGAGAAACAATTGACTAATTATACATGTATATTTATAATAGATCATATCAGTTTTGTTGTTGTTGTTTTTTTTTTACTAATTTCTGAGTCATTACGTTCGTACTAATTTTGCGACATTTGTACGCTTACGGGAATTCTGGGTTATTAACATGGAGAAGAGATATATAAATTGTATATATTCATTTATATTAATACTATTATTATTTTAAATATAAAAACTATCGCAACACTGGTGAATGTTTACATTTCTTTATTCAAGCGCTACACAATTTATTTACAGTGAAAAACATAAATATGATAAATATGTAAAATTATTTACTTTTTTTAAAAATAAGTGAGGTGAATATAAGAGAACAAGAATCGCGCGAGATAATAACATAAGCTGTGTGTATTTATTTTGATATAATTAAATAATAAATATAAAAAGTTGTCAAATTACAAAACTATTTTTAGTGCTAGTGCATCGAAATAAAAAGTTGTGTTTATGAATATAATAAACAACACAACAAGGATTTTTGACTCCTCTCTTCTTACACCCATTATAAGAGCATTTCCGTGATTGCACCCATTTAGAAAAACTTGTCTTAAACGGACATATTCAGGGAATATAAAAGAATATATTCACAGGTTAAGACTTAACAAAAACTTCACATATATACATGGAACCGAATTTAATTTTCGGTTAAGGCAGAGTTCGGTTATGACATGTTTTATATATTTTTTTATTGTATTTTATTGTCCTCGTCAGGAGCAAATAATATTTTTAACGCTTTGCCAAATGCTTTAATTTTTATTTGGTCCTGACGAGGACAAAATATTTTTGTCGAAACGTCGACGTTATAAAAAAAATTATACTGACGAAGTAACTTTAATTTGAAGAACTATGAATGCCGGCCTCTATCTTCAAGATAATTAATTTTTTGGATTTTTTTTTTTAAATATATATATCATTAAATATGATCTCGATAGACCTTACTGCAATGATAACCGTTATTGAATGAGAGAGTTTGGCTTATCAGTAGTGAATCCTCTCTGTTGGAAAAAAAGAAGAATAGTAAATGAATGATCTTGAAATACTTTTAGACTGACAACACTGTAATATAAAAACGAGAACAAAGGAGTGTTTTTGTTTTGTTTACAAAATTAGTAATTGTAATGTAAATTGTTAAATGTTCTTTTCTGTCTCTCTCTTTGAAAATAATAAATTTAAAATACTTTCTTAAAAGGTAAAATTGCCTAATTCTTTAAAACCACTTCAGCTGTAAGTAAACTTGTTATTTGTTGTTTCATTGTCTGAACCATAAGAGATTCCCAACACTCTCAGTGGTTTTGCCAAATCTCCAGACCTTTAATTTTATATGTAAAAAAAAAAAAGCTTAGAAGAAACTGTAGAAGTGTGAATTCGAACTCCGAGAAAGTTGAGATGCCCTAAAAAGGTTTTACTACTGAGTATCCGATTAAAAAAATCCTGTACAGTATATTAAACTATAAAATTATTTAATGATTAGACTGTGTGAGTGTGATATTAATTTTTAAAATTTTTATTAAATTGGCCCTTTTCAAAGATTTAAAAATTTTTATGTACATTGATTTCTTTAAAAAATAAAGCAATCTCTATTTTAAAAATGTTAATAAATGTATTATGGGAACACACGACATTTTAAAGATTTGTATATATAATTATTTATAAAATTTCTTTCATACTAAAAGTATATCAATAATAAATATTAGAAGTGCCATAGAATAGCAATACAGAAGTAACACATAAACTACAGGAAAAAAGTGTGTGTGATGGCAAAAATTGTATTATATTAGTGTTTAGGTGTTTGATTTAATTAATATAGTTGATATAATAATATATATTTATATTATATATAATATAAATGAGTTTTAAAAATTGTTTTAAAAAATGCATCGTCCGGGAATCGAACCCGGGCCGCCCGAGTGGCAGGCGAGCATTCTACCACTGAACCATCGATGCTTTAAAAAATGGCCATATTTAGGTATTCATTCCATTCCGGATTAGTCCGCGTAAAAAAAAGTTCTTCAAATGAAAAAAAGAAATAGCCAAAAATACTAATCAAAATGCAGCCGAAAATTTTCCTCAGGTTTATAAAAAGCGACATGCAAAATTTGGTACCAATTGGTTCAGTAGTTTTTGAGTTTATCGCGAAACATTTTGACACAAATTTGGAAAAAAAAAAAAGGCACCGGCGAGATTCGAACTCACGATCTCCTGTTTACTAGACAGGCGCTTTAACCAACTAAGCCACGGCGCCTCGGTGAACGGGTTTCTTAGATATAACTATATATAAGTAGAGTAATACAATATAAATAAAGTAAATAATCATAAATAGGATTGTGTGTGTTATATACGGCTAAAACCAGGTGTTCCCCCACTTAATCCTCTGTTAACATGAGCTTATCAAACTCGACATCGGTATGACTCCGCGTGATCCACTTTTATAACTTCTTTTGGAATATTTAAAATTCTTTTATTCGAAGTTTCTTTTCCTCCAATTTACCCAGCTTTTATTATCTTGATTGTCTTAATTAAGTTTTCCTGTATATAAATTTCATATTACCATTAATTTGAAAATAAAGCAATCCATAAATACATCTTTAATTAAAAAGGCATATATTGGAATCCAAAAATCATATATTTTACCAAAATTTCATTTGGTTGAACGCCAACCTTTATCAAAGTATTATAACATATTAATGTGTTTTAATACCTTGATAAAGGTTGGTGTCAGCCAACTGAAATATTGGTAAAATAAATGATATTTTGATCCAATATATGCCTTTTTAATTAAATATTACCATTATATATGTGATTAGCTTTAAAAATTATAATAATTACAATGCTTTTTTTTTTAATTACTAGTATTATTACTGTTTTTTTTTTCTGCATGTACCCCTATATTACTGCTCGGAGAATCTGTATAAGACTAAAAAAGTCTTAATAAAGTTTTTGTTGTTTTTTGTAAATTTTTATATATTCGAAAAATTAATTAATTATAAAGTAATACTTAAAGCCTCCCCGCATAAGTTTCTTTTTTTGTGAAAATCAATATTAATTTCAAAGAGAAATATGTACTATTTCTAACTTTTTGGATGACGTATGAAAAGGTTGAATATATGAAGAGTAATGGTCTATATATGATTGGATGACGTATGAAAGGGTGAAAATGTGAAGAGTAATGGCGAACGGAAAAGTAAAAGTGTCCAGGGGCGGGAATCGAACCCACAACCTTCTGCTTACCGGGCAGGTGCCATGTCCACTAGGCTAATTAATTAATTATATATTTTTTAATAATTTATTTTAATGGGAGGATTCTTCACTGATGAGCGAGGTCTCCCAACATTGTTATATAGCAGTAAACTGTTGTACATATATTAATTAATTGTTCCACAGAGTGTGTGTAAGCTCACAGGTAAATAGGCGCTAACCGAAACAGAAAAAAATTCCTTTGTTCAATATTAGTTTCCCTTTTATATTTTGTTCTCTCTCTTTTAAATCAATAAATATAATGTTTAATTAATAATTATTGGTATCAGTTTCATTAATAATTCTAAGCAAAGTCAACATAAACTCAGTAGGGGGTTGTTTTATTGAAAAAAAAAAATAGCGGATATCGTTTCATTCCTAATGTATTTAGTTTTATATTTAAAAAAAAGCGTACCTGGGGAAATTTGAAAAAAAAAAATCAGATTTTCAAAATAGTTTCCTCCCCTCACTCTCTTCTAATCAATTTATTGCAAAAAAAAAAAAAAAAAGAAATGTAATTTTACAAATTCTTGTAGATTATATGGAAACAACTTTGTAATTGATCAAAATTAACCCCCAATCCTTTAAAATATTTATAAAAAATATATATATTTTTTTTCTTTCGCAGATCCGGGTACACCTTTTTTAATATAAATAATTGTATTCAATATATGTGTGTGTGGATCGGGCTTTTATTTAGTTTTGTTTCCACGTTTTCTCAAGATTTGCAAGAAGCCAGTCATAAACGGTTGAGTATGCTTTCCAGCCATTTTTACTTCTAACGTTGAGCGTCCTCATAAAATTAAGGAATTCCATATTGTCAATAGAAAAACCGAGAAATTATTTTAAATAGAAATAAATAAAGAGGGAAATTTTGCCAGAAGGATATTGATTTATAAAAGATAAAGGTCACTTCTCCCGTCAAAATAGACGACAAAACTAGATGTCATCTATTGACCGTCGCCGCAAAGTAGCGGACTTAGGTCGGTGACAAAGCCACAACACCAACTTTGGCAAACTGAAAAGCGTCCACCTATAGACCATGGTGTCAGGCTAATTGCCCTCGTCAGTCTAGGGCGGACTTTATTCCATGAGATCCACAAGGGATCTAATAGAATCTTCACAATTCGCCAAAGAGTTGTTTAGCTGGCAAAGTGGTTAGGCCAAATCTCGGGCCAAAATATAGATGGAAATTTTGTCGGGGGGATATTTGATCTATAAAGGTCACCTCTCCCGCCAAAATTATCCCGAAACCATGGTCTCTAGGTGGACGCTTCTCAGTTTGACAAAACTGGTATTGTGGCTTTGTCACCGACCTGAGGCTGTTAGTTTGCGGCGACGGTCAATAGATGGCGTCTAGTTTTGACGTCTATTTTGACGGGAGAAGTGACCTTTACCTTTACAGGAAATAAATAGTTAATTATTGGTATAAGAGATAAGAGAAGGTGTGTTATATCACATTCAAATATACTGATACATGTACGGTAAGCAGCCAATCAGATTAGTGTTAAATATATTTAGCGCGCGCGCTAAATATATATACAGTCGAACTTGGATAATTCGAACCCCAAGGGACCATAAAAAAATTCGAATTATCCAAAAATTCGAATTAAAAACGGAAATTATATATATAGGAAATTCTAGGGACCAAGATAAATATTCGAATTAAAGAAGTTCGAATTATCCAAGTTCTACTGTATATATATATTCACTGACTGATCTCCAACTCCATCCTAATAAGAGTGAGTCACCTTTGAAGAGTTGGAAACGGCCAAGATTGGTGTGTCTCACGCCCTCTAAAGGCAAAGTCGATCTTAAGCCATAATGTAGTGGTCAGATGTGGTCCAGTCATTAAGGATTTTAGCGGGGAAACCAATGTGGTGGTTTACCTTCCGCATAAGGGATCGAATCCCGCATTGGACACTTTTTCCTAATTAAAAAAAAAAAAATGCTCCAAAGGGGCTCCGATTCTTGCAAAAGTCCAACCCCACCAGCAAGTGCAAGTAACGAAAACGGGGCTCTGGCACATTTGTAAGTGCAAAAGTCGAACTGCTTTTCACATGTGTAGATATGTGATGCACTTACAGTAAAAGCAGTCGCCAACTTCTATCCACCATGATTATCATGGCCTGTACCACGGGTGGTGGGGTCTTGTTCACATTGAAAGGGGGGGTGCCATTGCCCCGTTAGTCAGCCACATTTCAGAGTTCCCTGTTCACGGTTACCGTAGCGGCTCGGGGCTCACGACACCGTACTACAGGGCAATCCCTTACTTGTGCTGCTTCTCCCGTCCGCCACGTAGAGGAGGAATTCTGGGCAGGCTGTACCACAGGTACTAGGGATAATAATAATAATATTAAAACTCCGCCTTTGCCGGTCCCAAGCCCGGATGAAAAAGGAGGAGGGGGAGCAGTAAAAAGCTCGCTAAAAAACCTGGGCTCAGCTGGCTCGGCTGATAGTACCCTGTAAGGGTTCCTGATCCAGGGATACAGGATGAACAGCATTTGAAACTCCATGTTAGGAGTTGCTGCACATGGCGTCTGTTCCTCATGTCAGAGGTGGCCATTTTTTTGGAGCTAAGTCAGCCTGCCACTGAGTAGTGCTCCCAGTCTTGATGACAAAGGCAGCTGCATTCTACTTCACCCAGTGTGGAGATAAGAAAGAAGAAGAGATAATAAATAAATAAAATAAAAACTTCCGCAACTATATGGCAATAATAGGTTGGTTCTTCTTTAGAAGCCGTTTCCAACTTCAAAGGTAAGTCAATATCCACCTCCATATTGGGAGGGAGTTGTTCTGGTCGGTCCCCGCCAACGTTCTAGGGCGTTGTCCCCCGCCACATAGAGGCGCCGCCGTGTAGGGATGGATTTATTAGTAGTGGGAACAGGTAGCAAGGCATCACTCCTCCTGTACCTTGTTAGCAAACTTCCTTGATCCTATCTATGCCTTATAGGAAATACTCTCTTGTAGATCTTAGACTTTTTACCGAAATGAGAGAGACTGAGATTGAAGCTGATTTAGTACATTGTCCATATATGCTTATATATGGTTATACAAATACAGATATATAAATAAATAGGATTATCACAAAGCAATAACGCCCCATCTATGCATATAAAATGAAAGGATTTAAAAGCACGAATGTTTCTTTTATAGATAATACAAACTCTACTGCCCTTACTGCGCTGAAAAAAATATATTGGGAGGGCTTGGCTCATCAGTGGTGAACCCCCGCAGCGGTTTCGCCAATTCAATCCACCAGACCGCTTCTCGGAGCTCTAATACTGTATTGGACGATTCAGCTTATATACGCAGCACTGAAGGATGGAATCTCAGAAATGGTTTTCAAGAAAACTATGGACATAAGCTTATAGGATTATATAATAATATATGTGCATAAAGATATATAACCACTATCTAAGTCAGAATCTGACTGATTTTAAGGCGGCTTGTAAAGCTTATGAATCCTAGACGTCCCTTCAGTCTGGTGCAAATAATTTTAATTTCCAATTGTTTTTATTTTATTGTATAATTGTTGACTAGATGTCAATAAATCAATTGTCAAATCAAGATATATAAGAGAGAGTGAAAGATATTTGATAATTAACAACTTTTTTGAAAACTAGTCAACAATCAAAAAACAAAAAATCAAATATAAAACACACAAAAAAATAAAATAAAATAATAAGAAGAAACAATCGTAAAGATAGAGGCTGCCTGGCCGGCATTCATATATATATATAAATAATAGACACTTCGGCCAGTTAGAGTTTTTTATTTTCTCAACGTTTCGACAAAAATCTTTTGTCTTCGTCAGGAGAAGTAAATAAAAATAAAGCATTTTTAACGCCTTGCCAAATGCTTTATTTTTATTTACTTCTCCTGACGAAGACAAAATATTTTTGACGAAACGTTAAGAAAATAAAAAAACTCCAACTGGCCGAAGTGTCTATTATTTATATAAATAATAAATAAATTTTAAATTAAATTTAATTTAAATTATTTATACCAGACTGTGATTCCTCTCTGAAGAAACATCTTGAATCCGTCAATTGTCACAAGCCACCGTGAATTTGGACAGCTTCTTGTTTAGATAGGGGTTGTTGTCCCCATCACTCGGCACGGTCGAGGCCCAGAACAATCCTCTGCCAAGACGTGAGACAGCGAGGGGATAAGCACCCTTTTATGGCGGTACTAAACCGCACTTGCCAAAACTTCTCTATATTTAGAATCACTTATATTTCTTCTTCTTTCTTATTTTCTCCACTCAATAATATTAGAGTATCAAGCTTGTAAAGCTTGAGACTTTTGATGGTGTCTGCCGGGGAAGAGTAGAGCTCATCACTGGATGAGTCAATACAATGATGTGTTTCGGAGTTGCAGGTTGACACTTAGTACATAGTGGGAAAACCTTGCAACCATTCTAGAAAGTCATTGTCAGTAGATGATCAGACTTAAGTCTGGAAATCAAAGACTGTTGTTCTCTTGGGAGGACAGAACTGGTGCTTGTCCCTCCTGCTCTGTACCAGTCATGTGCAACATTAGATTTCCATTATTGCAGGTATTGGGTCTTGATGAAACGGAGGAGGTCTCTTTCGTATAGTTGGGTGGTAGATTTCCTGGCTTCAGGGTGATGCTCAGCAGGAGATTCATATCCACAGGGCTCGAGAGAACGAATGATTGGGTCAGGTATCTCTTCAGATGTCTGCTGTGGTTGTCTTCTTACATTTGGGATCTCTTCTTCATGAGGGTTTGTGGTAGGTCTTCTATACGTCACGCTATTCGAAAATTTTCCTTTATTTCAGTTATTGAGTCAAATAAATAATCTTTGTCGGGATTAGAATGACGAATTCTGTATGGGACTTTGATTCCAGTAAAAGGCTTGTTGCTGCTGTTGTATATAGTCACAGTGTAGAAAATACTATACTATACCTACTACATATAGGTTTCTCTCTGTATTCTTAGTTCTCTTCTCTTCAATTACTCTGTAAACTGGCGAATCCTATATAGGACGAGAGGTCCTCA